TATATATAAACCAATTTGGAATGAGTTAGATGGGACCAAGTTAGACACCTAGACTTACTTATTAATTACACTTAATGACTTCTCATTTCTTTTAAGCTAAATAAGCCACATACCCTCCCTAATCACCATTTACTTTCCACCTTGTTTCATTATTTTAAAACACTTGTACCATGAAATAATTGAAATAAAAGTTAGTATATAAGCTGAAAAAGTGTGATATATGACTGATTTTAGGAGTGAAAACCGTAGATTACCATAAAAAGGGGGAGAAACCAATTGTGAGGGAGTGAAACATGGCAAAAGAGAGGAAAGGAAAGAAAAAGAGAAAGGGAAAAAGGGAAGGAAAAGAGCTAAGGAAATTCTAATCAAACCTAAACTAGGTAAGTAGGTTCCATTTTTTGGTTGATTAATGTCTTAAATTATTATTTTTTAAGTTATTTTGTTAGTGTTTATTTCATGGGTTTGTAATAATTTTCAATGGTTATATGCTTGATGAATCTATATATGGATGCCTTGTTGTGATGATTTATGATGTTTTGAAAAATATCCAATTATGTGGTGATGGGTTGGATTAGACTTGGACTAAATTTAAGTGAACTAAAACATGTTTAAAGTTAGCTTGGAATGAACTAATAAATTAGTATTAACGAGGAGTAAATTCTATTCGAATTTTTGGGTGCATGTTCAAGGATTTTAGGTCGATTTCTGGGTGAAACTTAAAGAATAAAAGTTGTTCATCTATGTTTCAACTAACTTCCTTTAAGATTTCTTAGTCGTTGGATTCGTGTATAAAGAGTTATACTCGATTTAGTACAGCCTGACTCTAGATAAACTACTACTAGGTAGATTGCTCCCTAAGTTTTGAAATTTGTAATTAATTTTGTACTTAGTATTTAGACCTAATTTTTAGATATGTTATAAATCAATATGTCTAGTATCTACAATAAGATGGGTAAGATTTAATTATGTTCTAAAATTAGAAAATTATTTACTCGATTAGGAGTTGCCCGGTAGTAAATCCTAAAACTCAATAATTAGACTTGGACAAAATTTATGGGTGTAGATAAAATAAAATGGAATTGGATAAAGTCAATGGACTTTGGATTAAGTTATGAAACTTGGATAAAGTTAATGGGCCTAGAATAAATTAAATGGACTTAGACTAAAATCAAAAGGCTTGATTTTGAAGTAGATGGGCTTAGACTAAAAGCAATGGGCTTGGACTAAAATAAGTGGACTTAGATAGAAATAAAAAGGATTTAAAAATTCTAAAGAAAATTTATTCTTTTAGAGAGGAAATAACGAAAAGATTTAGACCTTCTTTTAAATATTAATGAAACTAATTAACAATATTAATGAGCGGAGGTTGTGTTCCCGCTATGAGTACCATGATTGGTAGGTGAGCAACGAGTGAATCCCGAGTGTTGGTTGAACCATGAGTATGACTTGAGAAAGAAGGGTTGGTACCGAGTTTTGTTGAATGTGATTAAACATGTCATCATGTGTATCACGTGCATTGAGGGTGGAATAAATTGAGAAAAATCATTGAGTCATGAAATGACACGGTTTGGTAACCGAATTAAGTGGAATGGATAATAGTAAGGAATCCATAGTGCGAGCTCTATTTACTAACACCATTAAGTGATGGATAATTCCACTAACCGTGTGCTACAACGAGGGATAATTCCGTTACGAGCGGTAGGTGATATTGAGATCACCGAGAAAGAGTAATAGAGCGAGTAGGTGATAATACGATCATCGAGAGATGGAACGCACGAACTTGCTAATACCTAGGGTACCCGAATTAAAAATGGATAGGTAGAATGGGAAACAAAACTTCATTGCATATCACGTGCATCACCCTACTTGCCGAGCTTCGGCTCACCCTATTGTTATTTTTATGTCGTGGCGGGAAAAGGACAAGTTGGTACGGATGCGGTGGCTCCTCCTAGCTGGCTCATGTGGGGCACTATAGATTAGTTTTTATTTTGTCCGTAAATTTGGGGTATGGAGTTCGTGACAAATTGAATATTTCGTAATGTTTTATTAATGTATTTAATTATGTTATGTAAATTTTATATTAATGAGTTATATACATAATGTGGTGTTAAAGTTTTAAGAATATCATAAGAAAACTACTTAGAGTTTATGGTATGTCGGCGTAACGCGCTTCGTCCGATACTCTATTTGGCTAGTAGAAATATGATCAGGGCGGGGCGTTACAACATAAATTGATAGCACAATGAAAATGCATATGAATTTATAGGCATTGCAAATGTTTAACAAATGAGATGTTAAGTTGTGGACATCAATGCAAACATGGCTCGTAGTTTTATTGCAAATGTTTAACCAATAAAATTTCTTGTCTAGCAAAGAAAACCACAAAAACAGAACCTTGAACTCATAGAAGAGGAAAATACAAAGATGCATACATAAATCACACAATAAAAAAAAATGTAGACAATATTGTGCCAATGACAACAAAATTAAGTAGCCAACAGACAACGAAAAAAACAAAATAATTATCTAACATCGAGCAATGATGAGCATAACAAAATAAACTCTACAAAAAACACGAAAGGGCTAGAATGAAGACCTCAAAAACACTAGAGAAAAGGCGAGTACCTATGAAAACAAACAGATTATCAACATACAAGACCAAGAACCCAAGAGAAACACGTACAAAGAAAGATAGGAAGTGATTAAAAAGCCAAAGGCAAAGAAACAAATTAATTCCAATAGCAATAACAATAAGACATCCTTAATTTTAGATGGGATAGTGATTCATAAATACATCATGAGCATGAAAATAATTAACAAATTCTAACTCGTTTAAAAAACAATAACAATGAACACTATGAGTGGGAGAAAAAGGGGAAGATAAAAAGAGAATATTAATCCATAATCTTGATTTAATATCCATGAACTAAAACCCTCCTAGAAATATAAATATATTATATGAATATTTTATAAATTAATAAAAGGTGTATTTATTGAATAAGTGAGTGAAGTTATAGATTAAAATTACATGGTTAAATTGCAAGGATTGAAAGTTAAGGACTAAGGTGTTAAGTGCCAATAAAGTGAGGGACCCCTAATTGAACCAAAGGGACAAAAGTGATGAAAAAAGTTAGAAATCTAGATTTTAAGAGAGAAAAACGAGGAGAGAGAAAGAATAGGGAAAAGAAAAATGAGAGAAGAAGAAGAGAAAATCCAAGGCAAAATAGTGAGTGACTTCACCTATCCAAATACACCATTCTCAATCGCTATAATCCACCTAGAAACACCTTAAATTAGCCTCTAAACCATCCTAGAAGATCAAGCAAGGAGAAAGGAAGAATTTTTTATTTGGCCAAAATTTTTGAAAGGAAGGAGAAGGAAAAAGCCAATGAGGAAAGGAAGGAAAAAAGCTAAAATTCTAAGTGAGGTAAGTATAATTCCTCACTTATACCATCGAATTAGATGTTTGAGGTGTTAATTAGTGTTAATTTAGGGTTTACTTAATAAAGGGTTAGTAAATGGGATTATTGTTAATTGTATGTTAATGACTAAATTTCAATAATTTATGATTGTATGTGTTTATAAGGTGAGAAAATGATGTTAGAATGTTTGAATGATATGAAAGTTTGTGTTTCAATGATGTCCTTGTTCCATGAACAAAGTGGATGAACAATCCTTAAGTAAGCATAGATTGACGGTCACTTTTTTCAATGCCTACCAAATGTTTGATGAAATGTCTTAAAGACATTCTTAAGGCTAAAATAAAAGAATGAGAATTGTCCTTTACTTAGCTCAAATTTGGTCAAGTATGAATTTGAAGGACAAAGAGAAAATTAAATGTGAGGTTTAAAGGATTAAGAGGAATGGAATGAATGCATTTATCCGAAAAATTGATGGTTATGATGCTTATTATGATTGACCATGTTTGTATGAGAAATATTTGATTATTATGCTTTCCATGACATTTGATTATTCATGGTGTATATTCCTATTGCATGCATACCTATATGTTTGGAACATGTATTGGATACATCATGTGTGCATATGTTGTTAAAGAATTTCAAAAGGTATGCATGATGAGGTAATGTTCATGGCATTGCATTTCATTTCATTTAAAAAATGCATATGTATATCATTATCATGAAAGAGAAATTTTATTTATGATTTTCATGAAAGGAAAAGGAAAAACTTTTCATGAAAGGAAAAAGGAAAGATGTTTTCATGATTTTTTTGGTTTTCATGATATATCAATTATTTATCGAGGGATTCGATAAAGGTCTCGTTAGTTGAGAGATTTGGTGAAGGACCCAATTGAAGAAATTGGCTTAGTTTTTCATTGAGGGATTCGGTAAAGGCCTCGATAGGTAGAGGATTTGGTGAAGATCCCCGACTGAAGATGAATGAGAGAAAAAAAGGAAAAAAATTAAGCCAAACGAAGCCAAGAAATCAAACATATCTGCTACCATGGAGCCCCCAGCGAAGATAAGACAACGCATTTAAAACCCAGCCAATGTATAAAGTAATGGTGGCGAGAAAAATAAAACCCATAAAGCTTTAGCAAGAGTAAAAAGGAGCACCAAAATTCCAAAGGTAACTGGGGACACAAAAAAGCAAAGAAAGTGGCGGGACATAAGCAAGGAAAATAGCAAAAAGCACCAAGAAAAAGGAAGTTAATGGCGATTGATTAAGAAGAGAGGATAAGCACGGGCTATTCAGAGGTTTGAGGAGGCAGAAATACATAGTAAAATGAATAGTGACAGAAATATTATTACAAAAGCAAACTACAAAAACATTATTGTGTTTTCCTATTTTTCTAATTTTTATTGTGTTTTCAATTCAAATATATTCTACAAAATAAAACAAATTTGTTTTCTATTTTCAATTCATTTTTTTAATTAAATTAGACCCGTAATATTTAAGTCATCAATTTGAACAAAAATATGCAAAACCAAATCAAAAACCAAACACATTTTTAAACACAAAATGATGAGGACAGGAGCATGCGGGCATTAACCCTTACCAGTCGAGTTACAGATGACGCTGCCATTAAAACAAGGAAAGATAAAGAAAATGACAAAAGGAAGGTAAAACGGCACGTAACCGCCATTTCCTTCGAGTCTAGGTTGTTCGTCTTACCTGCCATTCAAGTCCCAGCTACCTTTCTGCTTCTTCTTCTTCTTCTTCTTCTTCTTCTTTCCCTCTAGAATTTTGCACTCTGCACCATTTTGCTCATTCGATTTTTGCATGTCAAAATTTTCCACTTCATTCTCAAAATATTTGAACCCTTCTTGACTCAATATTTTAATGTTTCCCTTGATGGGAATTTAACAAAAGCCCATTTGCATCCATATTTTTTTTTGTTTTAATTGCGAGTGGAATATCATATTTCGTCATTTTGAAGAAAACCCATTTGATATTTCGCCAAACAATTGCAATAGTGAGGCAAAGTTTGTTCCTTTTAGTTGATTTTTTTGCTGATTTCTCTTTGGAAGAGTGCCCATTTTTTAGTTTCCAAGAAAAGAAGAAGCCCCATTTTGATAATTTACTTTCTAGATGGCGGATTCCAAGGCAAATCCGGCGGTTTCAGAGGAAATACTGCCTGATTTGCTAAAGAATACGGAGTCAAATATTGCAAGATTAGAGGATGTGATTGAGAGTTGTAAAGGTCGTCAAAAGTATCTTGCACAGACTAGAAGTCCATCTGATGGTGGCGAGGTTAGGTGGTATTTCTGTAAGGTGCCTTTGGCAGAGAATGGTGAGTTTTAGGAGTTTTTTCCCCCTTCTTCTTAGTCAGTTTATTCATATCTTGTTGTTTTCTAGCGCTTTCTTTGTTTGATAGTAATTAATTTACTTTACTTGGTTTGTTATGATACGAGAAAAGGTAATGTCTTCTACAGTTGAAAATTTTCCATTTTCAGAGTACTTAAAGAATTTGCTTATTATATAGAAACAAAGAACTTAATAATTTACTTGTGATTATATTTTGATTGAATTTTTTTTTTAATTTCTTTTCTTTGCTTGGTTCCGAAATGCTTCTTTGGCTTAAACACATGGAATTGGGAGCTTGGCTTTATGTTTCTTCATCTGTTAGTTTGTGCTATTGTATGAGGAGAAAGAGCTAACTTGCTCATTTGTGAAGGGAAAGGAAAAGGAAAAAAAATAACCCTCATTTTTCTTTTTGGTGTTTCTGCAGAGTTAGCTGCCTCAGTCCCACGCACTGATATAGTGGAAAAGAGCAACTATTTTCGTTTTGGTAGGAGGGATTCGCTTGCAATAGAGGCATCTTTCTTGCAGGTCATTTTAAATACTTATTTGTTTGAAGTTCAATTATCTCCCTCCAACAAATTTTATGTGTATCTGTGACTGCAGCATTCTTCTTATTTGAGAACTTTTTCTTGAACAAAAAACAAGCTAAGATGTTATGTTGATATTTACTGGCATAGTTATAGTATGTATACAGAGCAATGGGACCTGATTGTTTGCCTGATGATGCAATCTTTTCTTTCTTCTTCTTCTTCTTCTTCTTCTTTTTTTTTTTTTTTTTTTTTTTCAATTTCGTTTTTGTAATCACAGAGAGAAGAAGAATTGCTCTCTATTTGGTGGAAAGAGTACGCAGAATGTAGTCAAGGCCCAAATGATCAGCCTACTACCAGTAAGAAGTTTGATAAACTAGGCAATGCTGATTCTCCAGAGAATGGACGAGCAGCTCAACTACATGAAGTGGAAGAGGAGAGAGTTGGCGTGCCTGTAAAGGGAGGACTCTATGAGGTATGTAATGCCATATGTCTGTCACGAAAGTTTTAAGTAAGAAATTTCCAGCCTTAGTGCATTGTGTGTGGAATCAAAACTAGCATTAGAATTCCATTGCAGCATTTCTGCTCTGGCTGTTCATCAACCCATTTCAGAACTCAGGTTTGAGTTCCTGCTATGTCAAATTTTCAGAACTTCTCTGCAGCTCCATCAGTTTTCTTGGCTTTTACATCTTAATCATTTATTAGAACGAAAAAAACAAGATCGTATTGGAATTTTTTTTCTGGATTAGTTTGGAAAGAGTACGAATAATTTACGTAATTTTTATCAAACGAGTTGCTTTGAAGGAGGATAAGAAAGGAAAGTTTGATTATGGAGCTGCCTGTCCATCCCTTTCTATGTTATGGCAACAGATATAAGGGGGAAACTGTAAAGAATTATATTTTTCTGGTAGGTGAGGATATGCTTTGGACTCCAATTTAAATTCAGGGCTTTACAGGAGCTGGCATTTGATTTTATAGATAATGCTCCTATCTTGATGGTGCTTAGTTTGGACATGGTGAGGATAGGTTTTGTGGCAGGCTGATTGGAAAAAAGCATACGGAATAATTAAGCACCCAACCTCAGTGAGAATGAGTTCCCATGCTGGGGGTTGTGAAAGTTTAGAAGTGTAATTTAAGTCTGTTCTTTTAAGTGGATGGCGGTGCTTTCTCATATTTACTGACATATTAATATGATGGTGAAGAGGATGAAGTTTATTGCCAACTGAGCTTTCATGCTTAAAAGGGCCAGGAAACCTGTGGACCACCTTCTTTTACATAATTCTATTGCTACAGAATTATGGTGCCTGATTTTTTCTTCCTTTGTGCATTGGGGATAGACAAATGTAGTTGAGTTGCTGATGGATTGGTAATATTAATGATAGAGGTCAACATGTTTGCTTGTGGAATAGGAGAAACAGTCGGATGTTTAAGGGAGTGGAGCAATCTACCGTTAGATGAATTTGAAGCATTGAGTACTATATCTCTTGGCATTATGGGGCTTATTTGGCTCTTTAGTTGTTGCTGTATGGCATCTGAAACCATTTGCATTATGGCTTCTATCTTCTTCACATGTTATCACATGGATTTGTTGATGTTTTAGTTTTTCACGTTATGTCACATTTATTTGTGTGTAAGAACTAATGGTGTAAAAGGATCCAGTTCCAAGTCAATGCATCTTTGTTGAGACTTGCATTGTTAACATGCACTTGAATATGTATGCATGATTTGCGGTCACACATTATTCTTACACTTGATATAATATTCAACATTTTTGTGAAATTTAATCCACAAAAATTTCCTGTTAACATTTTTCGAAAACTGGCATGTTTTCATTATGCAGGTAGATTTGGTGAAGAGACATTGCTTTCCTGTTTACTGGAATGGAGAAAATCGTCGTGTTTTGAGAGGTCATTGGTTTGCTTGTAAAGGAGGCCTGGATTGGCTCCCTCTTCGAGAGGACGTAGCTGAACAGTTAGAGATATCATATCGCAGCCAGGTTTGCTCCATTACTAACATCTACTCCTACGATCCATGCTATTTGACATATTGGATATCTATTCCTTCTCATAAATTGTCGGTTATGTCAAGTAAATTTGCATGAGAGTTTGAAAAGTGCCTCGGTTAGAATCATGCTGGAGTAGCATTATCTTTTTGGAAATGCATAGTTTTGGCATTCAGTGTTCTTCATGCATTTTACTTGCTATTATCAAGGTCTTTCTTTCTCCATCTTTGGACTTGTCTTTAGGTTTGGCATCGAAGGAGGTTTCAACCATCTGGCCTTTTTGCAGCCCGTGTTGATCTGCAAGGCTCTAAACCGGTATGTATATCGTTTTCTGAGAAAGGAAATTTCCTTTTTAGTTCTTATTATCCGGTGCAGTATATGATGCACATCAATACATGATTGATTGTGAATGTAGGGACTTTATGCCCTTTTTACTGGAGAAGATGATACTTGGGAGGCTTGGTTCAACAGTGATGCTTCTGGCTTTTCTAGTATCATTAGCTTGAGTGGGAATGGAATCAAGTTAAGGCGTGGGTACTCTGCATGTTGCTCGGCAAAACCAACCCAGGTTTATTACCATACTTTGTTCTGATACTAGTTTATATGCTACCATATGTGCTTGTTGTCTGTTTACGATGTCAATGTCATGTAAGACGTGCTCTTTCTAGATCACCCTCAGGTTGATCTTCAACCATGCGATCATGCTTACCATATTCTAAAATTGTTGTAGTTTTGTAGTTAATGCTATAAACAACATTTCCTAGTTATTTACAGTTCCTGCTTGCATATGGGGGAAGTTGATCCTTGTTCTCTCTCACACCCCCCGCCCCCCACCCCCCTCCTGGTCTTGTGTGAAGGGGAGAGTAGAGATTGTATTTTCTGGTTCTTGGGTCACTACTAATTAATTTATTTGATTGATGCTAATTAAAACATACATATCGGAATCAACCCACCTAAACTTATGGAAGGCCTGTTTGGTATTTGTATCATCTCTTGGTTTCTGAAAATTTTGGGAAAATTTGGAAACAAGAAGGAACATTCATTACTAATTTCAACTATTTAACTGTCATTGTAACCATCCTTTGGTGATCACCAACGAATGACCACAATTACCACCTAACCACCAATGACACTGCCAACATTACTTCTCTTGCTGCCACTGCTGATCATTGATCACCTTCAATAGGTCATATTCATTATTCTTGTGGTTCTCTTGTCTTATATACTAGGCTAATTATCCAGCTTACTCTACTATGACATGATGCCTGAAATGCTAATAATTTGTCATAAATGCACTGCATTTCTTGTGGCTGATGGAAGTTAAAAACCAATTGTCCCTCCCATTTTCTTTTACTTTAGGATGAACTACAACAGCGGAAGGAAGAGGAAATGGATGATTACTGTTCACAGGTATGCACTATTTTCTTCTGCAAGTTGTATTGGAGCATTTAGTTTGTACATACAAATACGTGATGCATACATTATCTTTCCTTGGTAATTTTTAGTTTCTCTCTCCATGTGTTTATCAATTATGCCTCTTAATCTACAAATTATGAACATTAGGATTAGGAGAATGGCCACATATTACTTGTTCCTTTTTTGGTTTTATATTTCCTATCTTATGTTCAAGAGAGAATAAAAAAAATGTTGTGGCAAAATGTTGTAGACTTATGCATTTTGTTCAGTTTTGCCTTTTCTTTTCATAATTTGCTGTAAAATAATCACTTCTCATAATTTTGCAGCTTGCATTTGGCTCTCTTTTCATATCTTTCTGCAATAAGTTTGAAATAACTTTGTTGATAAAACAGGGTTTTAATCTTGTATTCTTGGTCTAGGTTCCTGTTCAGCATGTGGTTTTTATGGTTCATGGTATTGGCCAAAGGTTGGAGAAGTCTAATTTGGTCGATGATGTTGGCAATTTCCGCCATATCACTGCAAGTCTGGCTGAAAAACATCTTACTTCACACCAACGAGGTGCTCAACGAGTTCTTTTTATTCCATGCCAGGTAAAATAAATACTACTGCCATTTCAAGTTCATACTGTCTCAGGAGGTCCAAACTTTTGCCACAGTTAGTTTGTGTCCATGTTGAATATTGTTTTCTAAATTAATGTTTACATTCATGTGAAACATGGCCAATTTCCAGAAATATTATTCCTCAAAAATTCTAATGTGATGTTCAAACAGTGGACATTCTCTATGCATAAAAAATCATTTTGTAAATCCATTATGTCTTGCACATTGACTTTTCAAAGTGGAGAACTAAATAAACTTCTCAAAAGCGAAAAATTAAATTGTCCTCCTGGGAAGACATACTTTCATGCTGAGCCTTACATTAGTTATTTATCTATTTGTATTGGTTGACTCCCTTGTGAAGTTGTGATGAATGGAGACTTTTGTCTCACTTTATTTGCTTAATAAATTCATCATTTTTATGTGATTTTGGAGGAACATACCTCTATTGATTTAATATGTATGGAAATATGTTGGACAAGGCTGTCTATCATAATGACATTTTCTGTCTCCCTCCTCTCCTTGGAGAAAATGAAGTGAATATGATAGTTGAATGCTGTACGGGTGCTTCTCTATTTCATGAACTAGGAGTGCTTCTAAAAAGTGTAAAGTCATGGAATTGCATTGGATTATTAGCAACGAATTGTTAATTCTTTTGGGGGTCTATTTAGGGTCAGAAGCTTGCAATTATTTACCACGGATTTGTTAATTTGAGTACCAATATGTGAATTACAAATATCAGTTTATTTATTTATGGTTCACTAAAACCAGTGCATGTTTGGGTTAACTATATGACAGAGAGAGGAGGGAGAGAGGGGGAGGGGGAGGGGAGGGGGTTGTATAGTGTTTATGATTTTATGGATGGATGGTTGCAGCTTACTTTCTGTACAAACTATATGTTGTAATTCAGGAATCACCTAAAAATTGTAGGGTATGTTCGAAATGGATTTTTATGTGCTGTACAATCTGTTTGCACAATAGTTAGTTGCAAACTTCTTTAATTCTTCTGATTGAATGTCTTCCTGTTTGCTTCTCATGTTGCACGCTCCTCTTTTCTTTTGTAGTGGAGAAAGGGTTTGAAGCTTAGTGGTGAAGCTGCAGTTGAAAAGATTACTTTAGATGGTGTACGTGGTTTGCGTGTTATGCTGAGTGCAACAGTCCATGATGTATTGTACTACATGAGCCCCATCTATTGTCAAGACATTATTGATTCGGTACTGCAGACTCAATCCTTCAATTTTTTCTCTTTTAATTGTTTGTTATCCTGCAAAGAATTCTAATTAAAAGAATCATCCTTGTGTTCTGTTGTGAGATGGAGATGCCATCTTCACATATATCTACTGGAATGGATAATTCGACATCATTTAATTACTTGTCCAAATTGCACGTTTCCTCTTCCAAAAAAAAAAAAAAAAAGGAATAATTAAAGCACACAAAAGCTCTTAATACTGGCAAAATTTTTTCCTGATTATTAGTAAACTAATTTTATGCATGTCGTGAGTGGATGAACATGGGAAAGAGCTATCTTAAGAGAACCTTGACTTATCCATGTGATTCGAAAGCACTTCCGTCTGTCATCGGTCTCTAATGCTGTGATCTCAATTGTCATGCTTTTGGGCTTTCAACAGAACTTCTAATTTAACAATGTGGTAAAGTGATTTTTTCCCTGAAACAACAGAAGTTGCAAAATTTTCAAGGCGACCATGAGGAATGCTAGTTTACTTTATCTTGCATTATCTAGTCTTTATTAAATTGGAAGAACTAAATTTATCTCTTTTGTCAAGGATAGAATAATTCAGGCTTATAATCACACATTATGAACAATCACCCTAATTAGTTAATCTTCAAATTAGAATTAAGGGTAGCTTAAATATATATATAATATAGTCATTTTTTCCTGTATGTGAGTGGTTCTACACAAGTAGACATGAGATATACATCTCTAATGATATATGATAAAAAAAAAGGAGTGGAAGGAAGAAGTTAAGAGATTTTTTGTTTTTTGTTTTTTTGAGAAGAAATGGTGTGTGCTGGGAGGTTCATATTTTAGAATTCCAGACAATTAACAATGAGGAATCTGCTATAAAAATTAGGTAGATCAATAAAGTGAAACAAGTTAGCTTTGAGGCATATAGTCGTTGTATTCACACTTGAGTTGGAAGCTGGGTCTAGACTGGGTTGAGAAAGTGGTAGTGTTTAGAGCTGATGGGATTCCTTTCCTTCTGATAGTAAAAGAAAGCTTCCCTATCTCTTTGCATATGTGCTAAGAGACACCTTTCTAGACACCTATAGCAAAGCACCCTACGAATACAATGTTTATCTCATATAAGAGGGAAAGGAAGCTGCTAACTTGAAATATTCTTGACTTCATTCATACCAGATGCACCAAATAGTAATTGCACATCACCACAACACACTACCTACATAATTACCAAAACCCACAAACCTGATTGATGGTAGATCTTCCAAGTTTTAATATGGAGGGCATTGCAACAGCAATAATGGTTTGTGTGTGTGATGATGTCTGGGTGTCTGCAGTACTGGCAGGACATGAAAGTGACACATTTTACTTGTGTGCTTATTGCAATGGTATAGAAAGTGTAACTTCTAGTAATGCCACCTGTAGCATCCATAAGCTACCATTTTACTTGGGCTGCTAAAAGTGAAATGAAATGGTTAAGTAGATGGTTTGAGCTCGTGAATAAATCTGTTGCACCTCCAGTAACATCTAAATTACTATCAGAGAAGAGGGAGGGTGGCATGAACATGAGTTGAATGAAGAATGTCTGGATAGGCAATTTCCCATGTTTCGTAAGATAATTCCCATTAGAGAAGCATGGTGAATAGAAGTAAAGAAGAAAATGGCAACACAGGATAAATTTAATTAACATTTGTAGGTACCCTAAATATTGTCTTTGGATATTTTGAAGCCATGCCTTAACTTGTTAGCAGTAGCTTATTCTAATTCCTGATTGATGCTAGGAGTTCTGCATGAAAATAGCTCAACTTCTTTCAGCAAATGTATGGTATAGTGTACTGTTATTTTATATTCCTTGTAGTATTTTATTCCTTTCATCTCTTCAACCAAGTTGTTTGCAAAAAATTATAATTTTATTTCATGGGGACCAAGGTTAAATGTTTAAAGGAATTTGTTTCCTTTACAAACATGTTTGGAGGTCATGTTGATTGGTATCACTTTGCTCCAGGTATCAAACCAATTAAATCGCCTGTACTTGAAGTTTCTTAAGCGGAATCCTGGTTATGATGGAAAGGTATAAGCTCATTAGCAATTGCTCTGTTTCTTCATCAATCTATTCTCTTGATATCCACTGAACAATCTCAATAGTATGCGAACATTTATCTAGGTTTCAATATATGGTCATTCTTTGGGAAGTGTCCTCTCATATGACATCCTGTGCCATCAAGAGAATCTGTCTTCTCCTTTCCCAATGGATTGGATGTATAAAGAACATCCTAGGAGTGAAGAATCTTCCCTTGATATGAAGCATGACTCATCGACCAACCTGGAGGGTAACAACTCCAATGTAGTCAATGCAGCCGAGGAAATAGTGGATCCTGTTGATACAGAAATGATGACTGCACAATCAACTTTAGTACACGAGGATGGGCATGCTGATGATTTTTCCACAATTGTGAGTCCTCTTGCATCAGATCTGGATGAAACCTCATCAGATTCAAATTTGAAGCAAATGGGTGGAAAAGAAAGCCTCCATGAATTTGTTGATGACTCCAGCAATGTGCTTTCTCAGGAAAGAGATCACTTATGTGAAGGTACAGAAATGAAGTTAGATGACCCAATGAGTGGTGTGGAAAATATGGCAGTGGAAGCCAGTGAAGGTACCGTCAATAAGGAAAAAGAAATTAATATGCTGATGGAAGAGGTCTGCATTTTAGATAATTCCTATTCTTTAGAATTTATTCAGTTTGGGTTTTCAATATGTGACTTTATATTCTCTATTGCAGATCGATTCCCTAAAAGCTAAAATAGCAGAATTGGAATCCAAGTGTGGTGGTAGAGATGCAAGTGGTGGGTTGCGTCAAATCACATTATTTGTTTGCATCTTAGGTGAAGGCACTCTCATGTTTTGGTATTTCTGGATTTTTTATGTGAAACAGAAAATGACAAGGCAACTGAAAACAAGCCAAAGCAACCCATATCTGAGATGTTGGCACTCGGACAAGATGAAGCACCAAAGAGTTATACCCCTTATATCAAGTACACAAAACTTGAATTCAAGGTACATAAATTCTTGTTCCTTTTATTTGTGATTTTCTTTTATCTTTATGTTGTGGTGGCATATGAGCTTTGCCAACTCTGGATGTGATATTATTTCAAATTCAGATAGTAGAAGAGAGAGGGAAGAAATTGTAAACCTTTAAGTGTTAGAAAGTTAACATTTTAGCCGAGACCAAAAAATATCTGATAGATCATGTCATTAATTTTATTTGAATACTTATATATCAGGTTGACACATTCTTTGCTGTTGGATCACCTCTTGGAGTCTTTCTTTCTCTTCGCAACATTCGGATTGGAATCGGTAGTACTTGAAATAGCTGGTCTCATTTTCAACATTGCTTTCGAAATTTCTTTTAATACTTGAAACAGCAAGTCTCATTTTCAAAATCTAGTTTTAATAGTTGTTTTCATCAATTTTCCAGGGAAAGGACAAGAATATTGGGCTGAGGAAAATATTAGTGAAGAGATGCCAGCATGTCGTCAAATGTTGAACATTTTTCACCCATTTGATCCTGTAGCATATAGGTTTGCCTTTGCCCATCAATTTTCATGTGTAGAACATTTATAAATTGTTTTTCCACGTGTGAAATATTGGTCATCATATTGCCATGGTAAAAGTACAGAAAGGTTGTTGGATGAACTTTTGATTTGTTTATATTTCTTTTGAACTGGGAGAAGTGTCAAAAAGCTCCTCCCTCTCATCTTCACTTACCACACACAAAAAGCCAACTTCCCTGTGCCTACACTTTTTACACTCCCTATACCTTTTTGGCGTAAGTGCTCTTTTTTTGTTTGTTTTCCTATTTCATTTTGGTGGTCTCTCCTTAAATTGGTTCAAATTATAAAAGCTATTTCAATTTCTTATTCAGAATAGAACCTCTTGTCTGTAAAGAATTTATCAGCAAGCGCCCAGTTATTATTCCTTACCACAAAGGTGGAAGAAGGTTGCACATTGGGTTTCAGGTAAGGTCCTTCATGAAAAATAAATTGTGGATAAAAGGGACTTCCGCCATCCTAGGTTTTTATCTCTTCATTTATTCTTCCTGATATGTTCATACAATGTTATGCAGGAGTTCACTGAAGATTTAGCTGCTCGTTCTCAAGCAATAATGAATCATCTAAACTTCGTAAAGGTAATAAACTCCTTAAGATTCCCCAAGGTTATCTCTTTCTTTTGTTTGCATGAAGTAAGGTAATCTTGTGCACAGAGAAACATACTTCTTTCAGTAATGCTATTACTTAACATGGAAAATGATTAAAAAGGATTTTTAAATGATTGGTGGCATTAAGGATTCTTAAGTTGCAAATCTCTTGGTTTGCAAGACTTCTCTTTACCTTTGAATCTGTATAATATAAAGTCCCACTCTATACTTTGTCCTAAGCTTAAATATCCCATATTGAAGGAGTTATGATCTAGAAAAGGTAAGATGAAGGAATAAATATCCTAAACCATCCCAGGCACACTCTCTCTCAAGCTAGGACTTGATCCCAAGACCTAACTCTCCATGCTTTGCAGGGCATCTACTCCATGCCCTTTGGTAATATCTTAAACTGAGAGGTAGGTTGACATGATGAGACCTACATAAGGGACAGCAGATGTGCATATCGATACTTAAAGAGAAGAATAGTCGCTAGACAAATAGGCATGTGCATGCTCAATGTTTAACTAGCTATTTGAGACTCATTGAGCATTAAATTTGGTTCTTGATCTGTTAATCCATATTGGATTCACTGTTCAACTTGGGTTTGTGCTGGATGAATGGGTCCATGTTTCACAAGAAACTTAGTTACCGATACCTTATATAAATGTTTCACACCTGGTTTCTCTTCATGCTTGAGGAAATGTTGTAGGCATAGCTCTAAATATTTTGGTATTTAAACAGGTTAAGGTGCTTACAGTTTGCCAATCAAGGATTGCATATAGCGAAGAAGGTAGAAAAATTCTCTGTTTTCAGTCGTCACTTCTCTTACAATTTCTTTACATGTTCTGCTTCCGCTCTTTCTTCCCCACACCAGCCTTACTCCCCTCTCTACTAAACAGGAAAGACAGGATCTCCCTTCCTCCTGTAAAAACTGTTTATAATCTCATTGACAATTTTGTTATTTTTTTTCTTGTTAACAATTTGGTATTTGTGTTTTAGAAGCAGAAAATGATCATGAAAAAGAAGAGAGAACATATGGCTCAATAATGATGGAGAGATTAACCGGAACTGAAGGACGGATAGACCACATGCTTCAAGTGCGTGGGAGTACATTTTTATGCTTTTGTTTAAGGCTGCATTATTCTTTCACTCCATTGTTTAAAATGATTTGTGCTTGCCTGGACATTTCTTTCAACAGAACTCTGTTGTAAAATTGTCACATGTGGGCGAACACATGTGTATGCACTTGAACATTTGGATCTGCATCATTAATGCATATGCTTTCTAAACAATATGGGACAAATTTGTCTGCCCTTCGCTAGTCTCGTGTGGCAAATTAAAAAAAAAAAAAGAACAAAATTGTGCATCAGAATGTGTTTATCTACTTTTGACAACCAACGGTGTGTAGAGTCCCTTAATATTCACTATCTGGGTTCCATTTCTGCATATAACTAAGAATGTTTCCTATTATTCCATTGATATCAGTGAGACTTTAGTGTGTGTTTTTTTCTTTTTTTAATTTTCTTTATCAATTAAGTTATGTGTATCGTATTCTGACATCCACCAATATAATAGGTTTAGAGATGCATCTTTTTGGTTTTCTTTAACAATGAAGTTATAGACATCTTATACTGACATTCACCAATATATTAGGTCTAGATATGTATTTGCTATTATCAATTAGTCATTAGCCAATTTTGCTATGATGATAATGTGACTGTTTTCATACTATAGATGAAAACTACGTAGCTTGAGCCCCAGATGATCTGAATTACTATAAGCAATAAAATGATCTTTGCATTTTGGGGAAGTAGGGCTTTAATGTTTTTGTTTATGTTTCCATGCGTTCTTGGTACTAGCATCAATATAATTTGGAAAAACTGCTATAATGCGTTGGTACTACTGATAGAATGTGAGGTGGTGTCATCTTGGTCCTTCAGCAACTGAAATCGATCATGGGCAGCTTCTTTCCAGATCATATATGTAATTCCATGGATGTCAATGTGGATCAGGGGAAGTAGGTTTGTCCTTCTGTTGGTTTCTGACATGGCCACTTCAGAAGGTGTCATATAACAGATGTCCTAAAGATTTTGCTGTTAATTGGTCATTTTTTTTGGGGTCAGGATACAATTTATTCCTTACAAAGAACAGTTTGTCCTGGTTGCTTTACTTTGTACATGATTTATAGTTTTCCTATGTATCATAATTGTGAACCGATTTCTGATCCCCTCCCTAACCTGTGTTTTTGGGTTAACCATGCAGGATAAAACATTTGAACATCCATTTCTGCAAGCCATTGGAGCACATACGTAAGTTCTTTGAACTTTGAGATCAAGAAATTTTATGGATCAAGATCTGGCATCCCTTTGGTTTCCATGGAGCAGAATTTGCTCATTTTCTTATAAAATTTGTCATGCTTGTTGAACTTAATGGGGGATATATTTGACTATTAAAATCTCTGTTAGAAGCTTAGGACTGTTTAACTGGTTATGCTCACAAGAATACCCCGAGTTATTAATTAAAATTTTTGTTGCAGTGATATGTTGTTCTGCATGTATCATTGAAAAGTTTTGCAGCCATAACCTCCAGAGAATATAATGCTTCTTTGGATGGGGTTGTATTACTTGCATAGTAGGTTGTTTTGTCTCTCCAAAGAGGTTTCTTAGCATGTAGCTTGCAGTTACCATGTCAACTCATTTCTCAATTTTTCTTCTTATTTATTTATTATAATTTTTTTTTGCTTTTTAATTTTTATGTACTGCTAGTCTGCTCTCTATTTCGTCGAAGGGAAGAAATGCTATTTTTTTTATTAATTGATGAATCATTATGTGCAGGAACTACTGGAGAGATCATGACACTGCTCTCTTCATTTTGAAACACTTGTATATGGAGATACCTGAAGAACCCAACTTACATGCAGAATCTAGTGGAGGCACCTCAAAAGGTAAGATCAGCTCCACAGGCTGGCATGATCACAGTGAGACTGCTGAGGAGGAACTCCCTTTGACATTTTCTGACAGATTGATGGCTAGAAACTTCTCGAGGAAAGCCAAGAAATATATGAAAAGCCAGTTTTAGTTGCTGTTTGGCAGATTTAAATGCAGTATGCAGCTGCATACAACAGGTCTTGGCCTTATTGATTAACTGCATCATCAAACTGGGGGCAGGGCAGGGCACCAATTCTAGTGCAGCTTCAAAGATTTTAGAATGAAGTTGATGTGGAATTCGAGGGGGTTGCATGCACATGTTAGTTTTATGGTAGTTGCTCGACCATTGTTTGACATGTCTTGTTTTATGTTTCTTCTGTACATAAAAAGGATCATGCCTGTGACAATGTATGTTGCAAAAACTGGAAAAATGCACTGTACGAATGCTGGAATTAGAACTGTGTACTACTGGTTATAACTTCTGTAACATGTTCACATGAATGGAAGGCTCACTGTCAACTTTCTTCCTGACAGCAAGAGCATGCCAATCGAGGTCTCTTGTATCAGATCTGAGCTCTTTTATATCATTTGCTGCTGTCTGCTTACCCTTAGAAAGGTGATTTCCAACTTTAGGGATGACCAAATATTGTGTCTGGGATTAAATGTTGTGGTCTAAACTTACCTGGTAGTTTTTAATACTTGCATAAAATTTCTGTCTCATCGAGCCAAAACTGTACCATCTGCAAGGCTTTAGTTTATCAAGAAATTTTCTGGATGCGAGAACTGTCTTTCAGAGGGTAAAGTTGATTTTCGCCGAAGGAAAGCTAGAAATTTAACCTTATGGTTAATTTTATCGGCAACTGGAGAATTCTTATTGGGGGAGTAATTCAAAGGATTGGAGTTAGATGGCTGAATGACATGAAGTAGCGTTTACCTTCTTAAGACTAGATGTCTTGATCAATGGTGTTATTATTATTATTATTTATGGAAATCGATATTTGATTAAAAAAGAATGAGTAAATTATAAGTTAGTGTCTCTTATTTTGTGAAATGAATTAATTCGTTTTTTTTTAAAACTAATTATTGAGAGTTTTATATTTTAATTTCGTCAATAACTTAGTTATTTCATTGGTTGATTTTTTTCCCCTCAAATTGCCTTTTTTTTTTAAAAAAGTTTTATTTATCTTCTTCATTCATTTCTTTTCTTTCCTCTCAACAAGGAAAAAAAAAAATCAAAAGAATGATAATTTAGAAAAAAAAAAATTACTGATCTAAGGGAAAACCAATGAAAAATTAAAATGTTAAAAACTAAATAATTAGCTTTTAAAGAAAGAAGATTAATTAATTCATTTATCGGAAAAAGAGAGAGTAGTTTATAATTTACTCTAAAAACAAAAGAATCAATTGATAGTTTGAAAAAGAAAAACTGAAAGAATAATTGGTATTATAACCAATTAAGTCAAAAGGTTGTTGAAGAATATGATTGAAAGAGATGGACAATCCTATAAACTTACATCATTATAGCGAAAAAGACTCGGAAACAACCAAGGTGAAAGGTAGGGGTCACGGATTACACACCTGCAAGGCTGCAAACGATTCCCTTAGCGACAGGACGGCCAAGACTGCTCCAAAAAGAAAGAGTCGGCGATGAATGGTCATAGCTTTTATTGAATGTATTGACCCTGCATGTATTCCACCCCTACCATACATCAAGAATGTTAAATGAGTTCATACTTGGAGCAGAATTCACGTCCTTGACAAATCGGGTTCCAACCACGTACGAATCCTTTCTAATACTTTTGAAGTCCATAGATGAGATATTTCTTATATAATTAGACCGACAGTTTTTCTGACCAGATGCTTCGAGCTCTTACCGATTCATGAAACATTTCATCACTTCTGAACTGTGTGTCAGTGACACAGTTCCTGTCAACCCGTCTAGTACTCTGCCAGGCAAACACTAGAGTAGTGACATTAGACTGAACCAAAACTAGCCAGAAAACTGAGGTGATAGCTGCATAACATAGAATTTTCCAAATGTCTGTTTGTATTCAAGGACTTTGACTAATCTGCAGATTCTTAATGAAGTACCCAAATATACGTGTAGCATGAAAAAAAAATCCTTAAATCCTCCAAATGATTGTCAAATATATACAGCAAAAAAGTACCAACAAAAAACAAAGAAGAAGAAGAAGAAGAAAGGCTTGTTATATCTGCATGAAACAGAATATTACTTACACCATGCACTTGATCGAATTTCTGCTATTCTAATTAAAATTTTCGGCAGAAAGGGTTTTTTTTTTTCTTTTATATTTACAAGAAGATTTTTTGATATTTTACAAAAAAATGAGATATTTAGGCTGCTTGGAGCTGGCGGAGCCAGGTCATTTCTGCAGAAAGAAAAAGTGGAAAAAAAAAGTGCCTTTTTTCTTCTATATAATAGTGACCTTTCTGCAGTACGGAATGGAAACAACTTGAATCTTTGGACCTGTTAGCTTGAGTGTTTTAGAACTTTGTAATTTAACATCCAGTTCAATTATAAGGAAATGGTGCGTGTGCTTTGAAAAATTACTTTTTTTTATTTTCTACTTCCTTTTCTCCACTCGAAGACCTTTTTGTGTGGATTAAAACTCCATTGACAAAAAACTAGTAACCAAATATCTGAATCAAACTAGCATTCCATTGTCTATTTTCTAACTAATTTCTATTCAAAATTGGGTGTGCAACGGGAAAAGGGAACAAAAAGAGGAGAAAATATGGCGACAATTCCAGTAGATTATGCCATAACCAAAATAGTGGCCCTCCTTGAGAATGAAGTTTCGTTGTTAGGAAGAACTCGGTACGAGCTTCATGAAATCAAGCAAGAACTGATGAGCATGAAATCCTTTCTGGTCGATGCCGATAATAGAAGGGTAAGCACGGAAAGTGAGAAAACTTGGGTCGAAAACGTGAGAGACATAGCCTATAATGTGGAAGACATCATCGATGAGATCAGTTACCATATGAACTGGCCACAATCAGATAATAAGTTCACACGGTTCCTGCAGAATACCATTCAAACTCCTCAGAACATGTGGATGAGACATTGTGTCGGGAAGAAGCTGATTAGGATCAACAACAAGATAAAGGCAATCTCAGAGCGGCGGCAACGCTATGGTGTCACTAGCATAGAAGGGACACATTTACAGGATGAGCAAAAGTGGGGGCTTAACCGTGGCGAGTCATCTTTATTTATTAGTGGCAGCGAGCTTGTGGGGATTGAAGATGACAAAAAATCATTGCTAAAATGGTTAACAGATGGAGAACCACAGCGCAAAATTGTTTCAGTTGTTGGGATGGGTGGCTCCGGCAAGACAAGTGTCGTTGCCCAAGTCTATAACAATCCAGGTGTGAAGCAACATTTTGAGTCTTATGCATGGATATCTGTGTCCCAAACTTTTGTGATTGAAGACTTGCTGAAAAGCATGATCAAAGAATTCTACCAAGCAACGAGGGAACTGATAACAATGGATCTCAGCTATATGAGCTACAGACAGCTTGTAGAGATACTTGTTAATTTCTTGAAGTCAGTAAGGTATCTTATTGTTTTAGATGATGTATGGCATACGAACCTCTGGCCTGAAATTCAATTGTCACTTCCTGATGGGAACTGCGGTAGTCGGATTTTGCTTACAACCCGGAAAAGAGATATTGCTTTCTCTTCTTTTGGTGTTAGAAGCCATGTTCTCTTTATTCAACCATTGCAAGAGGAGGAGGCATGGATTTTGTTTTGCATGAAAGCCTTTTCGAGCAATCAAAATAAATGTTGCTCTCCAGAAATCGAAGCCTTGGCCAGGGACATTGTGGGCAAATGTGGAGGCTTGCCTCTGGCAATTGTTGCTTTGGGTGGTCTCATGGCATCCAAGAAATTGGAAATCGAGTGGAGAAGGGTTTGCAATAGCTTGAATTGGGAACTAAGCAATAATCCAATACTAGAAACAGTGAAGAAGGTATTGCTGCTAAGTTTTCATGATTTGCCATACCAGCTTAAGCAATGCTTCTTGTATTGTTCAAATTTCCCAGAAGATCATTTCATTCGACGTAAGAGACTGGTTAGACTATGGATGGCAGAAGGGTTTATAGAAAAGATCAAAGGGCTAGCACCAGAAGATGTTGCTGACAGCTACCTCATGGAGCTGGGTCACCGAAGTATGCTTCAAGTTGTGCTGACTCCATCTGGCAAGCCCAAAGGATGTAAGATGCATGATCTATTGCGAGAACTTTCTCTTTCAATCTGTGAACAACAGAACTTTTGTCAAGTGTATAAAGGCACGGAAGTGGTGGAAGAGATCAGAGCACGGCGCTTATCTGTCCAAGCAAGTGACAAGAAGTTAGAATCATGGGCAAGCATGTCTCACCTTCGATCCCTTTTTATGTTTGTCATTGGTGCTCCTTCTATGTCATCCTTACATTCAATTCCGTCAGGATTTAGGCTCTTAAGGGTCTTAGAAATGGAGTTTGTCCCAATTAAGATTCTGTCGGAGGAAATTGGAAATTTATTCAATTTGAGATACTTGAACTTGAAGGGGACTTGTATAGATGAGCTTCCGAAATCCATTGGAAGACTTCGCAACCTAGAGACCTTGAACCTTTATCAGACAAAAGTGAGGGCACTGCCAAATGGAATAGCGAGGCTGCACAAGTTGAGGTATTTGATCGCATCGTACTACAATCTTGAGTTAGTTGATGATTTCAACTACATAAGTTGGACAAAGGCACCATCAGGAATTGCTAAGTTGAAGAATTTGCGAGTACTACATTTTGTGGAAGTGAAAGGAAATATGTGCAGATATGTCCGAAATTTGACGCAACTCACATGCTTGGGCATATTAAAGGCGAGAGAAGTGGATGGAAAGGCATTATGCTCATCGATAGAAAATATGAGTCTCCTCTGTCACTTGGCTATAATGGTTTCAAAGGATGATGAAGTTCTTCATCTTGATACAATATCATCAACTCCTCCCCAGTTAACAAGGCTTAATTTGGTTGGAATGTTGGAGAAGGTTCCTCTTTGGTTCCAATCACTTCGAAGTCTGACAACTTTGTCTTTAAGTTGGTCCAGACTGAATGAAGATCCACTTCCGTACATACAGTCAATGCCCAAACTTCGGAGGCTTACCCTTATAAATGCATATGGAGGGAAAAAGTTACATTTTCTTGCAGGCTTTCTTTCATTAAAGAGTTTAATCTTGCGTAATATGCCTCAGCTGGAAGAAGTTGTTATAGAAAAGGGAGTGATGCCGGAAATCCAGAACCTATGGCATAGCAAATGTATGGCATTAAAGATGCTACCTCAGGGCATCGAGCATCTCAGTCATCTCCAGCACGTGTTTTTGGCAAATGTTTCTGAAGAACTCGTAGAGCGGATACGTGGGGAAGACAGTGTCGATCATCCGAAAGTTAGGCACATCCCGAAGATCAGCCATTACTACCAAACATCAGCAGAATGGTTGTGTGAAAGCTTGTCCTAGTTTCTCTGAAGAGAAGGTGAATTTGATAAGGATAACTATCTAGAGTCCTATAGTTATTATAGTTTAGCATTCTTGTATAACTAGAACTCTACTGCAGAGCTTATCTATATCATTGCAGCGTTAGCTTCCTTATAGGACTACAACACTACAGAGCTTGTCTATAGCTCACTGCAGCGTTAACTTGGATGTATATATATATACTTTGTAAATCCCGTTTTATATACATGAGAATAAAGTGAATCAATAGCTCTTTCATGGTATCAGAGCTTTTAGTGACTTAACCGTCCAGACCTTTTTTTTTTTTTTACTATCGTATTCTCCTTTTTCCAGCTCCATTTTGCACCATGTCTGGAACTTTCCAATCTATAACTTTTCAATCTGGCAGCCTGACCGTGACAGGTCCCTCCATACCAAACTCACTATCCCTTCCTAACCTAAACACACATTCCCTACTAAAACTCACCCCAACAAACTTTATTCTCTAGAAGACGTAACTCCATCCTCTCATTCACTACCATGGATTGATGCACCATATTGATGGAACCCGTGTAACTCCTACTGCAACCGTCAATGAAAACGATCCCAATCCCACATACCTCACTTGGGAACGCAATGACCAACTTATACTCACTTGGATCATTGGTTCCTTGATAAAAGTTGTCCTTCCCATCGTTGTGGGTGCCCATACTACCCAAGAAGCTTGGTTGAAGCTCTCGGTTGCCTGTGGTTCTGGTACACGAACATAGGTTAATCAGCTCAAAGGAAGCTTATATCGCCTAGCTCAAAGGCCACAAGAATCTATCGCTCAATACTTTCAGCAAGGGAAAAGTGTTTACGATACCCTTCAGTCTCTTGGCTCAGCAGTACCTAAAGAAGACCTAGTGCAAGCCTTGTTGCGTGGCTTTAACATGACTTATTATCCATTTGTGCGAGCTATTGAGTCTCGGCATGAAGCAGTCACCTATGAGACCCTTTTATGGATTTGCTGAGCGTAAACACCATCACATAGTCGAAACCGGTTTAGCACTCCTACACCAATCCTTTGTTCCACTACTGTTTTGGACCTATGCCTTTGATGTTGTAATTTACACAATCAATCACCTCCCCACACCCACATGGAAAAAAAACTCCCCTTACTCCACGTTTTTTGGTACTTCTCCTCCCCTTGATGAGTTAAAAGTGTTTGGTTGTTTGCATTACCCATGGTTACATCCGTATGCTCCACATAAACTAGCCCCTAGATCTTCTGCTTGCGTATTCCTTGGCTATAGTAAAGTTTTCAAAGGTTACTTGTGCTTTGATTTATCTACAAGAAAAATGCATATCTCATTCCATGTTTTGTTTAATGAATAGGTCTTTTGTTTTGCTTCGTCATCTATGACTTCGTCAGTCGTTCACAATTTGCAAGACTTAGCACTCCTACCGTTGCCATCTCTAAGTGTTACAAACAAAAACTTACAGTCCCATGCCCAAACACAGCCAGCACCTAACCCTAACCACACACAAATGGAACCCCCATGCAGCCAAACATACCCACTAAGATGCCTCTCATAGCCCAACATGCTACCCCCCAAACACAACCAGCCACAGAACATTGCCCCCTGACGCAAACTCATCCGTTACCCACAAACTGTGACCTACCCTCTACAGCACCTATCTTTCTCACGATTGATCTTAGGCAGTATTCAGTCACTGAAATAGATCGGCCTGCTGCACCCAAACCCGCTGTAGACACAAGACCAGTAACCACAAAACTGCCAATAGCATCAGCCCTAAAACTAACAGTAGCTTCAGCTTCCAAACAAGTGGTAGCACCAAACCCTCCCAAACCAGCAGTAGCCCCATCACATGGGATGCTTACCCGTGGAAAAACTGGTCACTTAAAGGCATTCACCTTTTCAGCTACCATCTCTAATACAGAACCACAGAGTTACTCCCAAGTTCAGTCTCAACAGTAATGAAAGACTGCCATGGCAGCAGAGGTTCAAACTCCGATAAACAATCAGATATGGGAGCTTGTTTCACGTCAACCTTCCTATAATGTGATTGGCAACAAATGTGTTTACAAGATCAAGACTAAACCAGATGGTTCCCTAAACTGTTATAAGGCCAGATTAGTAGCTAAGGGATTCAATCAAAGGTCTAGGATTGATTTTAATGACACCTACAGCTCGATAATCAAGCCAATAGCTCTGCGTTTGATTCTTTCCTTAGCTATTTCGTAGAGTTGGTCGATTTGAGTAGTTGGATGTTTCCAATGCTTTCCTTCATGGTCCATTGGAGGAATATATATATATATATATATATATATATATGACAAAACCACAGGGCTTTGTTGATGCTACATGCCCAACCCATGTTTGCAAGCTGAAGAAATCTTTATAGGACTACAACACTGCAAAGCTTATCTACAGAACTCTATAGTTTAGCATTTTTGTATAACTAGAACTCTGTTGCAGAGCTTATCTATATCACTGCAGTGTTAGCTTCCTTATAGGACTACAACACTGCAAAGCTTATCTACAGCTCACTGCAGTGTTAACTTGGATGTATATATATACACTTTGTAAATCCCATTTTATATTTATGAGAATAAAGTGAATCAATAGCTCTTTCAGAATTGCTATATTTTTGTGTATCATGCATCACATGATCATGTACATTACTCCATATAATATTTTAAAGCGTGTTCCTCGATTTACACCCGTTAAAGATAGTTCAGAATTCTTTACAATTTCGCATAAACTTGGATGAAACACTTAATTCTTCTATTAACAATGTTTTCAAAAGATACTAGTTTTTGATTAAATGATACAAGAATAGCTAACTAATCACTGCTTCTTTCACTAAGTGAAAATAAAAATCATGAAAATAGTAGTGTCATCTTTTGAAAAATCAACAAAGCCAAATTCTTTATGAATTTTGTTTGGTTTATAACTATTAAAGAAAATGTTCTTAAATATAATCCAATGGCTTTTTATGTCAATTATTTTCTTAATTGAGAAAGCAATGTTAATCAAGGTTTCTTGTATAATATTTGAGTCTACGATGTCCTATGGATTTTTAAATTCTTCCTAAAATTTTGTTTTCAATCAATCACGATCGACACTTTAACAATTTCGAATCGGATCCTTCAGTCGGTATTTATCAATAAAACTAACATAGAATGCCTTTTTTTAATTGGATGAATATGATTATTTGATTATTCAAACTCGATACTATATCCATATTGATGTAAAATGTGGTTGAAAAACATCACGTGATAAAAAATATAAAGACTTAGTTGCCAAATACTTAAAGCCAATAATGATAAAAGTGATGGATTCATGTATAAGGATCAAAATTACTCTAGCTCCATCCTAAAAATTTTGAGTAGCAAAAATAAATGAATGATTAAAGACAAAGCTATGATGACCAACTCCACAAACACAAAAGCCATAAAGAATTACATATTGTATTTTAGTTTATTGGTGTTTAAAGATATTACAAATAACCTATATTTATAATGGATAATACATGGAGAAAGAAAAATAAGTCAAACATATTACTACAAAATAAATTAGTCAATTTCTTGAATTTCTCTAACAAATCTTGTGAGTTATTTTAATAAATTTCTCGATTAATTGATCCTTGCAATTTTAGAAATTTAATATGCTTTCCAACATTCTCTCTCAAGATAAGCACGAATAATCATAACAAAGTGATTATCTTGCAATTGACTAGATTATAGCTGGAAAATATCTAATGCCAACAAATAATGAAATTTGCCAAATAACAATGATCATAGGCAAAAAGAATTTACTAGTTTGTCATAAAATTCTGAAAAACTAAATATTTTTCGATTATCGATGAAAATAAGGTTGGAAAGAACCAAAGTCTAAAATAAGAAGAAATTTGGTTAACACATAATCTAAGCTAAATGGATGTTGAAAGCCGGTAGAAATTTTGCTAAAAAATTATATATTTAGAGCTTGAAGTTGACTTAAACTTGATTAAAAATAGGTCATGGTCAAAGATTGATGTAGAATGTGGTTGAAAAACACCATATGATAAAAACCTATAAAAGGTTAGTTGGTAGATACTATAAATATCAAAATTGATATGATATTATATCAAAAAATTATTTCAACCTACTAATATAATTTATATTATTTTCTAATAAAAAGCTAATCAAAATGTGTTAAGACAAGTGGAAAGCATGATTCAACATGTTAGACTTGAAATTTCAAAGGTTAAGGGTTCGGATGAACTTGGACTTGTTCTTCAATCCATAAGATGTCTCATCTCCATCCTTTGTTTATGATGGAAAGTGACAATAAGATCCTACAAATGGGCTGCATTGGAATCACCTTCTTCATAACTCAGCGAGACTTAGCTTGGTCAAAAAGTTGAAGAGGATACCATAGTGGTTTCACTCACTTCGGACCCCTAGGGTCTTATGTTTGCATTGGTCCAGATTGATAAAAGATCCACTTTTAGATCTCCAAGCATTGTGTAATTTGAGGTGGCTTGTCCTTATCAAAGCCTTTGAAGGGTTAATGTTAAAGTTTCTTGAAGGCTTTAATAATCTTGAGATTCTTGAATTACTTAAAGAACTATCCAAACCTCTTGGGATGTAGTGCAATCAATGACCATAGGTAGAACATATGTAGATAGAGAGGCAATAAAAGTACTCATGAGCGAGTTAATCTTGTTGAATCCAAGTAAGATGAGAAGGATTGTCTTGAGGAGCGTTAGAGTCAACCGGAGTAACTTGACGAAGAGGGAAAACACCGAAGCCATCAACAAAACCAAATAAGCCTTGACCAAGGAGAAAGGCGATAACGCCTGCGACCTAGGAACTAATTAGGTTGAGATATTATTGTTATGCTTCATAGTGAATGTAAGACAAAAGGCACCATGTCTTTCCTATGGTGTTATTAGGTATGATTTGTGCTACAAAAGCTTATTAAATAACTAATAGGTCCAACTTTCCTTATAAATTTCAACCTAAAATGCACTATTGAAATTTTCAATTTTAACATTTTATTTTAATAGTTCTAACTAAAATAATGGATTTGTGTCTCTCGATTTTGTCAAATTCTTTTCCTATAAGCCAGAATAAATTCATCTAACTAATACCCGTTAATTGATAGTCTAAGTAACGTCTTTTATACAATTACTTGACTTATCGTGTCATTATTATTAAACAATAGTATACAAGAATTAAACTAATAAAATCTACAACGACACATTACTATGCTATTACATATTTAACATATCCAAAATTTAGCTAACATATAACCTCTTTTGCTTTCACATGATTGCTAGTTTAGTACCACACTACTACAAAAGTGATTTATTTATTTCTATGTCTCCTTTCTCTCTTTTCTAGGTAACTATCTACCTATTCATTACTTTTACTATCATATAAAATGAAATGGTCATACTTAAAACATAAACTAAGGTACCAAGAACAAGTAGCGAGTATAACTTAAAGAAGGTCCGACTTGTAACCGCGAGATAAGATACACTCAACGGAAAGACAAGGGAGTCCCTTCGGTAACAAGTTCCGTAGAAAACATAGTCATTGCTTTATATGCTTCACCCCTACATCACGAGAATTGGAGTGAGCTATTGCTCGGTAAGTTAATCATGCGTGCCATATGCATATGAGAGTGAAATTCATTTTTACAAGTAAATGCACTTTGAAATCCATTTCATGTCCTTGAAATCCTTTCCATTGAATCCATGTTATGTTCACTTTGAAAAATATTTTCTATGTTCGGACACACCTCGCCAAGCTTTTAAATGTACACATCCGTACATGCTCGACCCTCTTTCCTTAAGAATTTCTCTTATGAAGCCATTATACTAATCCCCCTACATTCGAGGCCATTACCAATTCCCTCGACCGGAAATGCCATTTCCTTCTAATGGGGCCTTTACTAATTCCCCTAAGGAAGAAACTTTTTAGTCGAGGCCATTACAAATTTCCTTGGTGAAAGAAATGGCTTGCCATTTCCTATCAACTAGAGCCATTATCAATTCCCCCAATGAGAAATTCTTCGAAAGGAAATGTTAGGGACCATGAAAACCATGATAATTTTCCTTTGCCTTTGAAAAATCATAAAAAAAAAAATCATGATATTGGCATGCATATGCATTTAATGTGAATGCATAATCCCATGAATCAATGTAATGCATGCCATGAATATGTGTGCATTTATGCAATGAAAATTACATACCTCAACATAATAAAATACACATCGAAACCTATTACCTTTCCATGTATTACATTTCAATCAAGGTACATAATTCAATAAGGCAAACATTTAACAAAGTGTACCATATAACATCACATTTCACATATCCATACAAATCATGAAACACAATTGACAACACCATTAAAGTGATAAGGCATTGCACCAATTCACTCATCGATGGAACAATTTCATAAGCCTAAGCAATCATGCCACAAACACTTAATTGCACACTTTGAACACATGCGTTGTAATTAATTTATCATTAAATCAAATCATTACTTACAACATGTAAACTATTTAACCACCATGATACACAAATCAACCTTTTAACTTTAATCTTTCTACCTTAGGTCGAATGTGCACCTAGCTTGAGCTAAGTGGGTTTTTTAATTTTAATGCCAATTTCTATACTAAATCATCTAAATATATTTCAACAACATATTATCAATTAATTAAACATCAATATATCAAATGCACTAAAAACTCTAATTTTCATTATTTAGGCCGAATGTATGGCTAAGTGAAACTAGGTGAAATTTTTAATTTTACTTCCAATTCTCATGTTAAATCATCTAATTACAAATCAATAACATGTTTTCCATCAATTAAACATCAATAAAACAAAAGGATAATAAATCCTAACAATCACTATTTGGGTCGAAAGTTTCATTATGAAGTAGGTTAGGAAATTTTGCTTTTTTAATACTTGTTTC